GAGACAATTCTTTCTTTTTAAAAGACAAACCGTGTAATTAAGAGCTGATTATTCAGCCATCAAACAGTTCTTCAGTCAAACTGCAGTCTTCCTTTAAATAGCGGCTTCCCCTCGGCTGGGTTTATCTGTGTAGCTGATCATCCATTTGGCAGAGAGCAAGCCACGCTTGCTGAGAGCGGGCACCCAGGGTTGAAGGAGAGAATGAAATGGCGAGAAGGCATTTGTGGGCCCATGACATTTATCCCAAGAAATCCTTCAAGAATGCATTTATTAAATTAAAAAAACAAAACCTTAACAGATTTCTGTCTGTCAGTCAGTCAATCTAGACTGTTATAGGGAGTCCTTGTGTGGCTCTGGTTGGCTTCTGCCTCTCTGTCTATTATCTATCAGTCAATCAATCATCTGTCGAGACAGGATCTCACCGTGTAACACAGGCTGGCTTTGAACCCGAGTCTCTTGCTGTAGTTGCCCCAGGGCTCTGAGCTTAGGGGTGTGCATTGATGCTCTTTGATTTTTTAACCACTTCTTTGTGCTCTGGAGGAGGGAAGACACTGAGGCTGGGAATGGTGTGTCTAAGCTCATGTCTGCCTCCCTGGTCATCAGGAGTTCGGACCAGAGTTCTTCTCAAAGCTCTGCCTCACGCCTCTGCTTCCTCATCCTGTCCCATCATTCTGTATCCACTAGGAGGGTTGTTCTTGTGCCTTTTAAATGAGGCCACACCTGTGCCTTCGGTGAGGGCCTGGTGCACAGTATGGGCTTAATGTATTGGCTAGCCTCTTACTATTATCAATAGGACCGTCACTGATTTACTTTTGCTGGGCCAGATGTAGAATTGAGAGCTAGTGGAGAGAGCGAGCCAGTGTGGGCAAGGGGCCTGGATGGGAAGTCCGTGTGTCTGGTGTGTCTGTCCTTCCATGCCTCCCCATGCTATGCTCTGGCTGTCTCTTCCTTTCTTCCAGTGCTTTTGACTCTCATCAGATTTTCCTTTTAGACTCTGAGCGTTGCCCTTTTATGAGTCAAGTTGGTTCCTTTACTCTTAAGAGTTCATAATTTTGTTTTTTAAATTATCGGGTGGTAGACTAGTGCTTGTTGGCTAGGAGAGAGGGCTAAGCTACCCTCTCCATCCAAACAGACCTGATTCCTTGCAGGTAAAAGATGGCACTCAGACTCTTTGTCATGGTGAGAAACTTAGGAATGAGTGTGAGCCTGTGTGTACCACGTGAATGTAGTACCTGCAGAGACCAGAAGAGGGCACCAGACACTTCATTTTCCCCCCTCCCCCCTCCCAACTCCCCAGACTTAAGTTATAGTTGTGAACCACCATGTGGGTGCTGGGAATTGAAGCCAGGTCCTCTGCAAGAGCAGCCAGTGCTCAACCTCTGAGCTATCATTCCGGCCCCATAAGAGGACTTTTAAATAGTATGCCAGTGGGGCCTGAACTTAACATGGAGTCACCTTTTGTGAGCTCCCTGCACATCTATGACATAGGGACCATAGGCCTGTCCGGGAATTTGGAAGCCACCTGGCAGACCTGTAGGGCAGAGGGGGCACCCAGCAATCTCAATTCTACAGACCTTGCCCAATGTCGGTCTACAGGTCAGCAGACTCATCCCCGAGCAGGTGCCTCTGCCCACACTTCATCTTTCTATGCTTTGATGCATTTGCTTCCTCTCTTGTGATTTGGGGACAGCCAGGTTTCTCACGGGATGCGACCGGCGGCAAGGTTTTGGATTCTTGGGAATACATGCTCACTTGCAGATCTTACCTGTGTTCCTTGGTCTTGGAATTTAGATAATTGAACATTCTCCAACCCGCCTTGTTAGATCCATGCAGTGCTTTTCATTCTCCAGGTCAATGCCAGGAGGCGTGGTTTCTCCACTGCCCAGTGTACCTTGCAGGTTGCCTAGTAACAACCTGGGCCTCCCAGCTAGTTAACTGCTATTCCTTAGTGTGGCAACTGAAGAGGTCTGTAGACCGGTGGCTCTCAACCTGTGGGTCGAGACCTGGTGTGTGTGTGTAAATTCCTAACAGTAGCAAAAATCACAGTTATGAAGTAGCAATGAAATTAATTTATGGTTGGGGGGTCACCACAACATGAGGAACTGTATTTAAGGGACACAGCATTTGGGAGGTTGAGAACCTTCTGGATTACTGGGGCGTGGAGGCAAGCAGATCAACACTGCCACCCCGACCCCAGCTTCTTCAGTTTGGAGCCATCACTCGGCTTTGCCCATGGGTAAGACTCTTTCATTGGCCTTCATCGGTTTTCAGCAATGAAGGGCCATGCAGCCTTTATCTCAAGGTTTTTGTGGCTTGAAGGATGACTCATCAAATTTTGAGCCAAGTGATCTCGGTACAGAGTGGGTGGGGCAATTTAATGAGTGAAAGCCTGAGGCTAAACAAAGTCAGCTAGCCTGGACCAGTGGGAGCTCTCGGAGACTGAGCCACCAACCAAAGAGCAGACATGGCCTGGGCCTAGGCCCCCAGCACCAGGGCTGCCTTGTCAGGCTTCAGTGGGAGAGGGTGCGTCTAACCCTTCAGAGCCTTGATGTGCTAGGGTGGGGGGATACCCAGGGGAGGGCCCACTCTCTCAGAGGAGAAAAGAAGGGGGCATGGGAGGAGGGACTTTGGGAGGGACAGCATTTGGGGTGAAAATAAATAAATAAATAAATAAATTGAAAGGCTGAGGCTAGGGCATATATCTAACCATTTTTTTGTTGACCATGTTTCCTTTAGAGATTTTAAATTTTAAGCCCACCCACTCATCCATCCGAATACGCATCCGTAGAACCTCAGGCAGCATTGTCTAGGTGCTGTGGTCTCTGAGAGAACTTTTACATTTCAATTTTACTGCGGCCTGAGGCAAGTGGATAGAAACACGTAGCTGTCCTTGTTTGCTTTCTGTTGCTCTGATGAAACACTAGTCATGAGCAACTTTGGGAGGAAACAAGTCTGTTTCAACTTACTGGTTACAGTCCATCCTTGAGAAAAACCCAGGCAGGGACTGAAGTGGAAACCAGGAGGACACTGCTTCCTGGCTTAGCTCCTGGCTTGATCAGCTAGCTTTCTTCTACAGCAGAAACAGGAGAGAAGCAAAACTCCCCAATCCTGGCTAGACAGTACAAGAGAGAGGAAGGGCTTGTATCCCACTGTCTTCTTTAAGGACCTGCCTTCAATGGCCGGTTGTATCCCACTGTCTCCTTTAAGGACCTGCTCAATGGCCTAACTTCCCCCCTACTAGACTCCACCTCTTAAAAGTTCTATAAGCTCCCAATAGCCTATAGGATGAGGAATGATCCTTTACCATATGGGCCCCTGGGGGACATTTAAGATGGAAACTATAGCATAATGTTTCACGACTTGATGGCTGAAGGATGGAAGGGATTCTCCTGGATTTTGTGATCCAGCAGACCCTTTCAGGATGACCACTTCTGGGCAAAAAGGTTGTAAGAGTCAATGGTGGGAGGACCAGAGGGAGAGACGTGGCAGGACCATTGTACTCACAGACTCAAAGGCATCGGTGGCCGTCTGCACAAGACCTAGCCAGGCATCACTTGAGGAGGGGCAGGAGGGCTGGTGCACCAGCCCTTACCTCTCACTGAGGAACTACATAGACAGCTGATGGCTTCTGGGGAAGGGGAGTCAGGTTTCATTTTAGGTGGCTCATCCTAGGTCAGTCACCCTCTAATGGATGGGCCTATACCCAGGAGTATATGGGAAGCAAAACTTGGGGTTGATGGGTTATTTTAAAAAGGGGGTATGGGGAGTGGAGGAGTTGGGTCAATATGATCAAAATACTTTGTATGAAATTCTCAAGAAATTTTTAAAAGAAAAAGAATGGACTCTTGGCATGCCTGCCCGCATAGCCTCAAAATGGCTAACGGTCAGCATAGCTCTGTGTGTGCTACAGGCTCCAGGCGCTCTTACTGAGCTCCTGTCTCTATTAAATGTAACCATCTGAGTCCTTTCAACTTATACTTTGGGTAGAAGCTAGCTAAGACGTCCAGTGCACAGGTCCCGGGCCGGGCCAAGTGTCTACTATGGATAGAACACAGCCGCAGGTGCATGATCACAGGTCCACAGGCCGCCTCACCCCTGGAAGGCCTTGAAGGGTGGCGGTTAAATGCTGCCTGCTTTACTATGAGATAATGGGTGTTGAATTCATCATGTATTAGGTGCATGGGATTTTCATTATTCTGCTTTTAACAAAGGAATTTGCAAGCCTGACAAGTTAGAATGAGTCGGTTGGAGCCTTTCTTGGATTAGGGGAAATCTGGCCTAATGAATGTATTCACTATGCATTCCAGGCACTAATCCCCATAGGTTTGCTTGGATTAACAGGTGGCATGCGTTTTTCATTCTCCTCAATGTTAGCATTAAGTGTTTTACATCCTACAGCAGAAAAATGTGACCAGAGCAAGCCCCCCAGACAACTATTTAAGAGTCCCCTGCTCAGCCTCCTCTCTTTTCAGTCCTGGGGACTGACGCCACGGCTGTTCGAATGCTTGGTGGGCACCACCTCACAAGCCGCAGCACCTTCCGTAGCTTGCATATGTTGCATTTGGCTATGACACCAGAGCTCCGTGTGCCGTTGGTGGGATCTGAACTCTCATGAGGGCTCTTAAGTCCTGAGACGTGGAGTGTTCACACTTGACTCGGGTTCGGTCCTGGTTTTCTGATATATGCAGATAGCATTGGCATGTTGCAATATGCCATTTAAAAAAAAATTGTGAGGCCAGAGAGATGGCTCAGCGGTCACAAGCCTGGGCTGCCCTGGCAGAGAAAGGAGAGTGACACCCAAACCTTGAGGCCACACCGTGGTTTGCCTCGTCAATGCCCACTTGTGGACTCTGTCAGTGATGGTGTCCTGCTTACTGTAGCAGATTTAAGTGAAATCATTCCTTTCCCTGTCAGCCCTGATTTGAGGCTCTGGTGTCCAAACACAGCTGTGTGACAAGCCTTTCTTCTCTGCCTTGCAGGAGTGTCAAGCTACTGTCACCTCTGCTGTGCTGTGTTGGCTCCCAGGTGCCAATCCTCGTCAGTGAGAAGATCCACGGATCTTACTGCAGGTACTGTACGCCCATTGGCACCCCAGAACGTCTACATTCTTGCACTAGAATGTATCATTCATTTCAACCTAACCTAACTGATAACCATAGCCCTCTGTGCTATCTGTGGACATGGGACCTCGGGCCTGGCCTGTGCTGGGTAAGCAGGCACTCTACCTAAAGCTGAACCTTGCACTCTTCCTAAAATTCCCAACATTTGTTCTTTTTTAGACTTGACAGTTCTGAACAGAGCGTGTGGTGGGGAGTGTGGAAGGGGAGCGGTCAAGGCTGGCCAGTGAAACTGTCTTAGAAAAAAGAAAGTATGATTCTTATGTTTGGGTTCTGCGTAGGAAAAGTGTCACTGAGAATATACTTTAAAAATCTACTGCTTTAGCTGAGTGTGGTGGTGCACTCGGGAGACAGGGGCAGGCAGTTTATGTAGCGGGGCCAGGCTGGTCTATGTAGTGGGGCTAGCCTGGTCTACATAGCAAGGCCAGCCTGGTCTATGTATTGAATCTAGCCTGGTCTACATCATGAGTTCCAGGACAGCTTGGGCTACATACAGAGATCCTGTCCCCCCCCCAAAAAAAAATTTATAAAATAAACACATTAGTTGATTAAGTAAAATATAAAAACTTGTGGGAAAATCACTGCTCTAGCTGGTGTCTATGAAGTTAGGAAGGGTCACTGTCTGTGGAGAGTTCATTGTTATTCTTGGTGTGTTATCATCAGAAAATGTTGAAGGGTAAAGCTTTCAGTATGGATAGCGGGCACACAGGGGGTGAGGAGCTGTGTGTGTGTGTGTGTACAGTGAACCTCACGCATTCTTACAGTCATTTATGGCTGTTCACAGCCTTCATTCTGTCTTTGCTATATTAGGAATGCCCACATAATCGGGTTCAGCCGACCACATGAGTCCTTAATCTTTGTGGGAGACACAGCCTGGAAGCGGCCTCTTGGCGAGGATTAAGAAGGAAGGAGGAAGGGGCTCTGCAGGGAGGGTCACAGGCTACGAGCAGTACCTGCTGATGAGGTCCATGTCGTGGCCTCCAATTTAATTATGTCAGGGGACAGGGACAGAGGTGCAGAATTGCCAGATGTTCCTTTCCAGAGCCTTAGTGAAATTGGATGAGGAGATGGGGAGGGTGTTGTGCCTGGGCCTGAGCCTGAGCCTGGGCAACCCTGGTCTCATTCAGGTGTCTATGTAGTCAGAGAAGCAGCTCATTCCGTGAGCTTGATCTTCCTGCTCCAGTCACAGTGTTTCTGCCTCCCTAACAGCCCAGTGGAGGACGGCCTCCTCACTACCTAACAGGAGGGTGTTGACAACCAAAGGAGCCCGAATCCAGCTTGGGAAGTGCTGAGCCAAAGTATAGAGGACATCATTGCTCAGTCCTCAATCCCAGGTCCTCAGCAACGGCTCCACTCACAGCTAAAACCAACAGGCCAGCTTACCACCATCCTATCTTGGGATAAGAGATACAGGCCAGGTGATACTGTCTGTGGCACGTCGCCAGGAGGCCTTCCTGTCTTGGCCAGCCACGTGTATGTATGCCTCTTACTTCTTCATGTCTAGTCCTCTGTGCCGAGGATGGCGGACCTCACGTAGTCTGATTGTTAGACCCCTCAGACGAGGTGGCTGAGGGTGAGACATCCGCCTTGCTGGGTTCCTGGGAGGAGCCTAGCGGAATGGCCCGTAAGCTAATACTGATTCTTCTCCACCTGCAGGGGAGGGTTTGTGGTATACAGCAGGTACTCAATAAGTATTTGCTGTGCAGGTGGTTGGATCTGACCGGTTACTTGCTGTATTCTCTCCATGAACACTACGAGGCCGGAGGAGTGAGTGGCTCATCTTCTGTGGGTTCTGAAATCCTACAATGATGATGGCCCATTGTGGAGACCTTTTTGGGAGACAGGGCCTTATTAAATAGTCCCGGATGGCCTTCAGCTTCATCCATATGTAGAGCAGGCTGGCCTCAGACTGAAAGAGATCGACTCAACTCTGCCTCTCAAGTGTTGGGATTAAAGGTTTCTGCCATAATACTTGGCCAGAGACATATTTTTGATGTTACTATAGGTAGTGTTTTGTTTTGCTTTTTAGATTCCAGTTTTTACTTTATTTTTGCCAGTGTCACATATATGTTTGTAATGTATTGTTTCCTCGTGGTGTAGGACTGGGCAGAGATGCTGGCTAGGAAGGGTGAGTCTACTCAGCCTAGAGATCTGAGGCTTGTCAAGGGGGCTATCCCAGCATGGCAGCTTGCTCCGACAAACCAGAATGGAGAGGCTACAAACAAGATACAGCCCTGGACGGTTGACTGCCCTGTGGGAGTGACACCCAGCCTGTTACCTGGCTTATTCTCTAGGTTCCAAGGATGCTTCAAGCCATCCAAGTGGGTGTGGTGGAAAAACCTCTGGCTGTGCTGGGGTGGCTTCAGTTACTGTTCAGAACTGAATTATCTTGTTTGGTTGTATAGAAGAACGAGTTCTGGACGCTTGAAGGATTTCCTCTTAGCTGTAGCAAGCAAAGGGACCTTGAAATAGTTTGTCAGGTGACAGTGGTGGGTAGGGGAGAGGAACTATTTTGGGTCTTGCTTAAGACAGGAGTTGAAATGTCTGGATTCAGCTTTTTAAAGGGCTAGGAGTATAGCTCAGCAGGAGGCGTGTGTTTAGCACATTCTATTCATTCCCAGCTACACACACACACACACACACACACACACACACACACAACACAGCCTTAAAAAAATAGTAGACGGGACCTATGACCTTCTTCTCAGATGTAGAACAGACTGTCAGAGAGAGGGAAGCAGGTTCAGCTATTTGGGTCTAAAGCATTTGAGGCAGTCGATCAGGTTCAGATCCTGGGTGATGTGTGGCTACCCTATCACATTAGAACCGTTAAAGCGAGCAGTCACTCGGCCACTGACCTGTGATAAAATTCACTGCTTGCGGCCTCGGCGCTCTCCCACGAGGCAGTTAGCGTCATTCCTTTAGAATTACTCGAGCATTCTGGGTGGCTTTCCCCACCTCTACCTGTCCTCTGGGCTGGTTGGGTCTTTGATCGCTCAGATAAACATTCTGATCTCCGAAGACCTTTGTGTAACTGGACGTTTTCTTTCTGCTCTCTATTCAAGGCTATTCGGTTCATGCCTCCCAGGGTGTCTACCTATTTATATGCATGTTACACAGGAGGAAACCTTGGGGCTGGGATAAATATGGCTACTCGTTTTTTAGCCAGGTTTGGTCTGAATGAGTGTTTCAGATTATAAACACTTTCCTTCTGGGTTGAGCGCCTGAGATTTTGGCCACCAGTGAACTGTGACTTGGAATAGGCCAGGAAGACAGACCACAAAATGTGGCATTTCCTGTGTAGGGATTACTTGTGCTGACCTCTTCTGCCTAGATAATACCCATGGCAACCAGGGGTGTGGGTTCTGTGTGCCTGAGGGCTCTTTGAGAAGACAGAGCCAGAACGGACTGCAGGTAAATACAACTGGTTCTGACATTTGTTTATGCAAAGGTTTATGCCAATCAGATTAAAATACTGTATAAGAAGATGCCAAAACTGGAGCCTCTCTAGGCCAGGCTAGACCCCTCAAGATGTGGTTCTGCCCTTCTGCTTCTCTTTGGCCTCTGACCAGCAGTGTGGTTTCAGGTGTCTGTTGTCCCGTGTGCCAGCTGCAGCTGCAGGTGTGTGCTGTTTCTTTCCAGTACCTGCTGGAAAGCACACTTCACCACGTCCCTCATAGTACATGCATGGAAAAATGAGTGTTTGGAAATCCCCTCCCCTTCTCTCCACCTGTCTAGCACAGCACCTGAGCTTCTGAACGCCCTGAGAATTAGTTCTTTCTCCCACATCTAACCTTTAGAATTCATGTTGGCTTTTCCAGCATAGTTTAGAGGGAAGCCCCAGAGAGAAATTCCTGAAATCACAGCTGGAGAGAACCGTCCTTTGTGCTTTGGTTTTTTTTTTTTTTTTTAACTCTTGGCTATATTTTTATAAAGCCAATAAAAATGGTTCCGTACTAATAATTCCATGTTGTTCATCTTGATTCTATAGAAAAGACTATTTCACTCAGCACATCACAGTGGCTGATAACATTTGAAGCTTGTCTAGGCCCTGGGGTGTGCAGTGGGGCCTGATGTAGGGCGCACAAACATTTCCGGGTCAGTTCTAGGTGAATTTTTCTTTTTGCCTTTAATTTTGGAAATTTCCAGACAGACCCACACAGAGACAGAAAAAAGCATAACAAAATCCCACGGACCTAATTACCACCATTTCCTATGTAGACAGGAGATAGGCTGACCTTGTCAGGGAGCCTCTTATCTTCTTTATGCCCCTGTCCTGTTTGTTGATTTCATTAGAGAGATTTTTCAACCTCTAACTCAAAGGCATTGTGTACTTGATCAATACAGGCGGGAAGACAGTAAAAATTCAGGAAGTAAAAGAGCCCTGGAATCCTCTAAGACAGTCAGTGGTCTCAATCACCCCGCCCTGAAGATTCTTTATGTACTGTTTTTCGATGCTTTTACAGATGTAATATTTCCATCATCATATTTAATCTCTCTGACTTGTCTAGAGTTCCCTCTACATAGGTTTTCCAAGCCCCTGCTGTCTGTATGATTTCTAGAACGTTCCTACCACAGCCCTGGGCGGTTCATGCAACTGAAATGGTCCACTTTTACCTCCACTCTCTGGTTTCCTACACTTCAAAGCCAGCAGCTGTGTGTGTGTGTGTGTGTGTGTGTGTGTGTGTGTATAATTAAGTTTTGCATTCAGGAAGCGGTTGTCATTAAATTCAAGTCGACCGTCTTGTACTTGTAGATGTCAGATGGAATGACAAAGTAGAGAGTTGTCCGGCAGCGGGAGGCATGTTTGGACAATGCTGTGTCCAGCGAGCCAGGAATGAGAGAATAGCTGCACATGATTGTCTTGGCTGCTTGGGATTCTTAGGCTGGTGGAGCGAGAGATCCAGGTCAATGAGGGTACATGGCCTGACTGTTACAGGACAGTTAGGTGG